AAATTGAGCTCTGGAAGTTGGATTTCTTAGACTATCAGAGTAATTTTCCTATTCGCCATAACGTACCTTTTGTCAAGTATAAAAAGATTTTGATACCCACATCAATGATAAGAACTTTGTCTGAAAAGTCACTCCTGGTATAAACTACATTATAAAACTGAGAAAAAAAATGAATATTAAGAAGTAGGAAATCATTTCAAAACCGACTTAAAATAATGTGCACTCAGTCTGATCTGTCACTTCTCGTATTTTCATCTATACTATGAAACTGAAAAAATTAAGTCAGCAGTACATAAAGTATCATTTTGAAGACCTAACTCAATTGGCGAAAACTCGGTCTGATCAGTCACTCATGGTATAAACTGTACCATGAAACTATAAGGTAGAAGCAAATAGAGTATTATAAGTAGTACATAAAACATCACGTAAGTAATGAACTGCAAAATATGAGAATGCAGTCATGTCAGGCACTACTAATACAAACTAGACTGTGAAACTGAGATGTTAAGAAACAAAAAGAAGTCTGTATAAACGAAACTGTTAAAAACTTACATCAGATAATAAAAACTCATTCAGATCACTCATTCCTGGTCTAAACCATTCTAAGACCTAAAAAGCAAATAATGAGTGGAACATTAAACATTTCAGTAACAAATCTTAAAATGACAAAATTAATACAAATTAGATCTCATCAGTTACTCCTGGTACAAACTATAGCTTGAACTGAGTAAAGAAAAAGATTGTGAGAGGTAAGTAGAACATCTAATGACTAGAACTCAGTCGAATAACTGACTCCTGGTATTTACAATAAATAGAAGCAACAGATCCAAAATGAGAGCAAGCATCTTTATAAGACAAATCTCAAATGATAGGAACTCAGTGTAAAGTCACTCATAGTATACAACATATGAAACTGAGAAATGAAGAAACAGATAAAAAGTAAGTCAAGCATTAAACATAATTTCTAGAACTATTATGAAATTAATTTTGTCTGAGACTCCTGTATAAAGGGTACCATGAATTCAAAGAAGAAACAAATAGAGATAAGTCTAAAGTAAATTAAGACTTATATTAAAATGGACATAAATGATGAAAACCCACCCAGTCTGATGAGTTACTTTATGTATACACCTCAAATAAAAATGGGGAAATAGAAACATGAGTGAAGTGGAACTTCAAAAATATTTAAAGAACAACCTATAAGAATAAAACTAAATCAACCCAGGTGTGAACTAAAACTACATGAAATTTATAAGCAAAAGAAACAATTATAAGTCACAAAGTTCAAGAAATATTTTAAAACCT